TCAGATGTATCGCTGTAAACCAATCATCTTATCTGAATAAGGAGAAAAGAGCAGACACAGCCACCGCTAGGAAACACTGTGTAATAATGTTTTGTGTTGACACCTTGGAGGTCTAAAATAGGCTGGATGTCTCCATCCTTTTTAATTTTTTTGTTTGTTGTTTGCAATGTGAAGTACCTAGACTATTAGCCAATGGGACTATGATGAGGAGGAACAGTCTTGACGGTTCCTTTGTTGAGTAGTTTGTCAATCTTTTGAAAGAGAGGCATTGTAGGAAGCATTGAGAAGAGCATGTGTGTAGATGGTAAGCCACGGGACTCTATTTGATAGCTTAACTGCATTACAGCAAGGATTCTTTGATCAATACGTACTGCATTTTTCCATGTATAAGACAATATCTTTATCTAAAATCTTTAGACTAAAAATTGAGGGTCCTCTTATACATGGAAGTAAGGGGGGGAAGGGATCAAAGGGCTGCAGGATCGCAGCCCTTTGATCCTGCAGCCCTTTCACGGCTGATTTCCCCCTCCACTTCCTAAGATCACTGCTCTCCCCCTCCACTTCTGCAGCCCTTTAATCCTGCTTTTGCGGGGCTTAGGAAGTGAAGGGGGAAAGCAGCGAGTGGGGGTAGTCTTATACACTGTGTTGTCTTATACACAGAAAAATACGGTATTCTGTTCCAGGCTGGGAGGTGTTGAACTAGCCTGGTACCAAACACGGTGGCCTATCTGTGTTCTGTATTTAACTCTTCGCTCCTTTTAGATGAAAAAAGACCATGACTTTCCAAAGGTATTTCATCTAACCTGACCCTAACACCTTGCAAAATATACATGGGACAGAGCCATGAATGATACTGTGAAGTAACTGCTTGCACAAAGGATCTTGTGGAGCACTCCAATGCATGTTTTGCCAACTTAATCTAGTATACTGCTACCTTATTGGCTTCTTTGAGAAAACTACTGCAAATTGCTTCTTCTGGAAGATAGTCCATGACAACAACAGCCTCTTCTGAAAGAAACATCTCATCCAGGGATGATTTTGTAAGGCCTAGGGCAATCCCAGAATAAGCCTTTCAACCTAACCAATCCAATTACCTTCTTCTTCCAGAGAGACATATATAACTCTCTTCTTCTCAATCAGGAAACCATTATAACTAAATTATCCAAATTATCCAAAATAAAATTATCCAGATGACAGTTAAATCCTGGTGTTAATGATGGCCTTTGGAAGATTTCCTTCACAGATTTCATTAAGGATGACCACAAGGGAAGTGTCACTAGCACGTTATTTAGGACCTGAAGGGCCGAGAACACTGGATCTCCCAGTGACTGCTCCTGCCTATATTGTATATTTAGCAAATCTAGTTAAGAGTTTGAAGTGTGATGCCATGTCATCCAAAGGAGAAGGAGCACTGCTGGTGGACACTAACAAAGATGATAATCACTGTGGTTGTATTACAAATGAGACTGACTGAACTCTACTGTCATCAGTTCACTACCTGTCACAGCACGCTGTGAAGAAAGTTGGTCAAGCTACACTCTTCACTTGAGAAATAAGAAATGCAGCAGAAGAATGTGCTTATACTGGTTAAACCTGAGTGCTGGGAGCCACATTACTGAATGACTGCAATACAGGCTGAGTAACTATGCCCACTGGGATAAAGATAGGCATGACTGATGCCAAATGGAATGGAGAGCACAGCTGAAGTAGTAGCAGGGGTAAGTTTTGTAGCCATTATTGGCTGAGCAGCTGATACTGATGTAGACACAACTGACACTTTAGATGCTGGTGTTGAGGATGGTCAATATATTGTTGGGATCTTTGTTTTTCAACTCACCAATGTTGAGTGATCCTATTTGGGGAGCACCCATGGTGTCTCCATTATAAAGATCAATACTGTAACTGTTGTGAAGCTAGTGAGCAGAGGTGTGCGGATTTGTGTTTCTGGACTATAATTACCAGAATTCCCCAGGTATACCTCTAACAATCAAAATATTCCCGCATGAGAATGTGAAGCAGGTGCATTTATTTTTATTTGGACTCTAAGAATTCTCCTTTCTTGGAGTTCTACTTGCCAGATAGATACCTGATTTATGCTCACCTGGAGGAAGGCTGGGCTGGAAGAACTCAAAGTCCAGGACAAGCTGAGTTCAAACATAGTTTGTTTTACTCCCAGAAATCTGCAGCAAAATAGGCTTGGGCTTCGTTTAGTCTGGGCCATGAGGACTTTCAGCCCAGGCTCCCTGCAAGTGAGCACAATTTAAGCGTATGTCTGGCAGGTGGAACACGGCAATGGAGAATTGTGGAATTCAGAATTCCCCAAAATCCAAATTACCTCATTTGGTAATGACACTGTGTTTGTCAATAGTATCATATTGCCAGTATTCATGTTCTTCAGATCCTCTGCACGAACAATTAAGTTGACAGTGAATTTGTATACAGTTGCTTGTACATCAGATTGTGCCCCACACTCCTACAGGATTTCCTCCAACAGCTCACTTGAAATGGCTTGCACCCCCTCTTCCAATTGTAACCAAAAAACAAAATCAGGAACAGATTCTGCTACCGCAAAAACTGCCTTATATTGAGTCAGACAGTTAGTTTGTCTAGTCAAATACTGTCTATTATGGCTGGCAGAAGCTCTTTGTGGTTTCAACCAGGATATTTCCAAAGTCACCCCAGAGAATTCTGCTACACTCTAGTGATCTTCTATTCAAGTGGTAGATAGGCCAGCTATGCAAAATGTTATAAGAAGCACCCATGGGAAATTCAAAATTTCCAATCAAATTCTGTGGTAAGGTAACCATAAAGATTAAAATTAGAAACAATAAAATCAATGTGGTCAAAATCAAAAGTATTAAAATCAGTGAGACAAAACACAATAGGAAAAAAGAGGATACCTGTGGGACTACAACATTTTCACAGATTTTCCAGTGTTTTACTGAATAACCTTAATTTCAGGTGCAACTACGTGACTAAATCCAACAGCAAATGAAAATCCCACAGGAGTTCTATTTTTTCTGCTTTGAGAACAAATGTATATGTGAATAACAGTATTATGAAGTACTTTTATTGAAAAATCGGGAGCATTTTGGGATACTAAGAATATTTTACTAATACAGAATTGGGGGGGGGGGGGTGTCCTGTAGCATCTAGGCAGCATCCTGACCCCAAAGTATTTTCCAAAAATAACAACAAAAGGATGGGAACTTTTTTTCTCTAAAGTAAGTTAGAGTTGATGGGGTCCTCCAACTTGTATTAACATTAAAAAAGAGACACATTATGTTTGCTTAACAAATATGATTTCAGTTACTTCTGATTTATTTAGAGCACTGTTTCCCAACCTGGGTTATGACCCCCACAAAGTGTTTTCTTGGGGGGAGGTTGCAGCCCTTGTCATATAATTTCTTCCTTGTCCTTTTGGAGCAGGATATTAAAGTTAGTGTGCATGTGTATGTATGAGAAACAGGCCTTTGAGGAGAGAAAGAAGGCTCTAGTTTCTGAACAGGGATGACAAGGAAGGGGATTTCTGGAGAGCAGAAAGAAAGGGAGGTAAAAGAAAAAGAAAAAAGAAAAAAAAACTATCACACAATAAACACCCAGAAGTGACATAAAAACAAATGGTCTGCCACTTCCATAGAGGGTGCAAGGAAAGTATCATGCTGATTTCTGAGGGGGATCCCCTCTGTGTGAAGGTTTTGCACCCTCCCTGGGTAGCACAGTGTCATTCCACCCCCTGGCCCATCTTTGAAATCCTCTGCCTTCTCTTCTCTTCTCCCTCTACAGTTCTGAACTCCTGGTGCAGTCAGCAGCAGAGCAGTAGAAGGGAAAGCAGCAGCAGTGTCAACAATGTCACCATGCTGGGGAATGATGACAATGCCTATTTATGGAAACATGGTGGGGGAGGGTCATAAGGTACTCGGCTATTATAAAAGGAGGTAACAACTCGAAAAACGGATTTAGAGGGACCAGTGTGCCCTGCCCCTAGGCTGCCCACTCTTTGTGCTATTATTCTTAATGCTATCATAATCAAACCAAATCAAACCAAAAACTAGCCATGAAACAAGGAATGAATATATCCAATAGAGTAGCATGATGTACAGTCGCTGTAACATACAATATCACTCTTATTTCTGAATTTACTTTTCAAAAACTGTTTGTTGTCTAATACAGTTTCCAGGCTAAAATCTTAAAATATGTGTGGAATTATTAAACCTATAAACAAAGTACGAAGCTTTATTCAGAATAATGTTTTAAAGATGTAGGGCAATTTTTTATTTAATTAAACAGTCTGTTCAAACAAGTAATTTTCAGTTTAAATTAACAGTCTCTTTTAGCTTAAGAACTCAGAGCAAGCAGCAACAATGAGACATTTTCCTTGGCACTTAAGGGCCTACAATCTAGGCTTATCGCTTCCCACGCAATGAAAGTAACATTGGTTAGAAATGGAGAATATGAAAGCAGATAGTATCATGAAGTCCATATCTTGACCAAAGAAGATGTTATTAATGTGTATTAATGTATAAGCAACACCACTTTCTTCTCAAAGACTATAGTTTATTTTAGTCTGGGATAGTCTGACATAATGATTGTTCATGGTTATCCAATCATCCATGATCAAGATAGATTCCTTGCTGCAAAATTGCTTTTTTAAAGCCTGCATCAGATTGTCCACTGATATAAAGTTCCTTGCACTGTCATTACAAGGATTTATTGGTAACACTATCCTTACTCTGAATTCAGTGTAGATTTTCATTTAGTATTACCACAGCCATTACTGATTTTTCATAGCAGTATCTGTTTTACAATATTCTTCAGTGATGTTGAAACATCGCAGAGTGAAAACTAAGGAGACAACTAAGGCTGAAATTTCTGTGGACCTTCTCATAACTCTGCTTCACTGAAAATAGGAAAACTTACCTGTAAACACACAGAAGACAAGGAAGATAATGAACCAAGATACAGACACGGAAACAGGCACACAAAGAAATTTTACTTACCCTCATTGAGGTTTCTCCCCCATGTGGTTGCTGAAGCCTGAAGACCTGAGCCACCATATGTTCTGTGGAAGGGTGCAGCAGAATGCGGCGGGATGCCAATCCTACCATGACATACCTGCCCATTGGGGACAGGCTCACAGAAATGGCATTAGGACCTATGGATCAAACATAAATAATTTTCTGCTTTCCATCTTTTCCATTTCTACAATGTAGGATGTAACAAACTTGACTATGGATCCTTAAAAAAAGAAAGATGTGTGAAATATTACAAGCACTAATTAGAAATCTGTAAGAGTATTACTTGCCCATTATCACAACAGCAGTGCCAGTACTGCACAGATAATACAGTTGAATGAGCTTGTTGAGAGACATGACATAATAACATGCTACAGACCTACTTAGGGTCTATATATTCTTGCATTTCAAATCAATACAGGGTTATGATTCTACAGACATCTTTCCTCCAGCTGTGAAATATTTTATTTGCTTATTTCTGAAAGGCTGCACTTCTGTTTCTGAGTATGTTGTGAGACTAGAATCTCGGGTATTCCTTCCACCACCATGTGAATCCATCCATGGGCTCTTACCAAATCGCTTTGTGTAGAGCATTTCACCCAAGTTGTGTGGTGCTAGAGAATACACCGCCAGTATTCCCTCATCAGGAAAGCCCCGCTGACTGCTCGGAATGAAAGCTGCCAGGAGCTGTCCATCTGCAGAAATATCACAGCTGGCATCATTGTAGATCTTGCAGTTCTGAACAAGCACATTCACAGAGGCTGCAAAGAGGGGGCAGAGAAATCAAGAATTAGAAGGAAGAATAAAAAATACAGATCTAAAAAGAGTACTATACTTCATACACAATTGTGCTATTGAGTCCATCTTGCCTTACAGCAGTCCCTCTTCCCCCAAGGTTTTCTAACTATTAAGCACTCAAAAACAGATTGCCAGTCCTTCCTTTTGGTAGTGCTCCAGGACCATGCAGCTTGTTCCAGGGCCATACAGATGGCAGGACATGTAAGTCGATCAGCCACATATGCTCCAGGAGTGTTCAGCTGGTTTTCTTCCAGGGAACACAGGGAGATTTCAAATGCTCACCCCTAGCTCTACAGCCAGATGCTACCCACCGGGCAATATCAGCTCTTGCAGAACTTCAGTATTCCCAAGACTGCTCTGAAGTAGTCCTTGTTTTGTTGGATACCTATATCTGAGGAACAGCAATCCACATATTTCTGAGCAGTGATTGGCAAGCTGAGGTCCACAATATGATGCTGAGGTGCAATTCCTATCAGCCCTAGCCAGCACACCAAAGGAAAAGAATGCTCGGGTTTGCAATACAGCAAGATCTGATGATGACAAGTTGACCAAACATGAAGATTTATTTTGGTCCTTTACATATAATTGCTCACACAGTTGTTTCATTTCATTTTCAAGTGTTAAAGAACAATATCTAAAAAGTATTTATCACTTGCATTACAGCTTTATGTTAATAATTGTTACTTATTACTACCACAATGATTTGGTATTCATGAATTAGAGGATCTGATGCCCAGAGGATGAGAAATTTTGAGAAACCCATGATTATTATCAGCAGATCTGTATGTGGAATCAAAAACTACTTGGACTGATGTGCTGAGATGGAACGTTTCATAGAAGACTGCTGAGGTCTAGAGAAACTGATACTACCCAGTTGGTAATGATGATAAGTGGACAGGTTACTCACTGTAACTTTAGAAGAGTAACCATGTTAGTCTGTGCTAGCATATCAGGCCAAAAGAAAAGAAAAATAAAAGACAAAGAAGACAAAATTGTGGCACTTCAAAGACTAAGTGCTGTATTTTAATGTGAGCATTTGTGGAAAAATTATGACATTTAAACTGGGTTTCACATAGCACCATATTTGGCACAGCTGTAGCAGACAGTCTGTTCTTGCTCTGTGGCAAATTCAGGCATGTTTGGACAAAGGGTTTTTGGATTATGATTTTTAAAAGCAAAACTGTTTTCCCCCATTCATAAACAGGGAACCCCCAACTATACCAGATTTAAAACAGCTCACTTAAATCTCAAAAACAATCTTGCTTATCTTGAAAGATTTCCATCATTTGGAAAACATGGCAATATTAGTTTATCTGAGAGGTTATTCTGCTTCGCCATTTCATTAAGTCCAAAACCGTCTTTAAAAATATTTTGGCATCAAGGGACTGCAACCACCTTCCAGCAGGCTCTGCTCAACTCCAGCAACAACAGCCCAGACCATGTGCTCATCTTCTGGGATCCTCTAGCACCAGGTAATTCTACATGAGGGGCATTTCTGTTGGAATGTGAGTTGCCATATGCATACTTAAACCATACTAAAACTTCTCATTTGTGAATGTCAGATACTGTGTTTCTCTATCCAAGATTCAAAACACTAGGATACAGCCTGATATTACTGCACAATACTCTGCCCATGCTGCCAGCAAGAAAAAGGATGCCAAACTTTACATAGCAAAGGGCAGTCTAAATGTTGACGACACCACCGTCAACAGTCCAAATGATCCAAAGCAGGGTTTCCAAGGACATTTAGGGATATGCAAAAACAAAAAACAAACAAACAAAAATGAATAATGGAGAGAAAGGGTACATACACCAATAGTGTAAGAAAGTATAATTCGATAATTATTTTCAAAGTTTCAGACAAAACTAAATCTATGAAAAAATTACATTTTTGGAGGTCATGTGCTGAAAAAGGCCAACCTGAGATATTTGAAATTTTACAGAATTCCTTATCCAGGAAGAAGCTACAGCTCTTCCAGGAAATGAGCAAGAAAATAACTGAACACTTGAAAGCACTAAAATCATCCTCCAAGAAGTACTTCTCAAAACCTGCAAAAGACAACAACTGGATTGCAAATCCCTTTGAAGAAGAATACTTCCAAGCTGCCAGACTATCAATCAAGGAAAAAGAGAAGTTGTTCAAACTTCTGATTGATACTACTTTAAAAGCTGAATTCAAAGAAAAATCCCTTATTAACTTTTGGGCAGACATCAGCAAGAGACTATTAACAGCTTTCTGACAAGGACTCAAGTTTCTGTTTCCATTTACAAATACAGAGCAAGTGGAAAGGGCTATCTCTTCCTATACCTTTATAATCATGTCCTTGAATTGACCATGCATATCTCATCTACCAGCCATGTAACACTGCACACTCTAATGCTAACCATACCTAAGAAACTTTTTGGTGAGTAGGTACCAGCTGAGGCCTCAATAGCTCAGTTCCTAATGGTCCGGCTGAACAACAATAATAGATGCTCCAAATCAGCTAAATTAAATTAATATAATATAATATATTAAGAAATAAAATAAAATTGAAGGGCTGAATATCAGGTGTATGTTGTTTGCCACAGTTCTTCAACCAGCTAGTGGACTGAGAGACAGTCTACTGAATACTGTGGATCACACCACTGTTCTCATAGTATGAGCAAAAATGCTGGACAGGATTGATAACAGAAACAGTTACTATTGTAAAGTTTGCTTCTGGATGACACTGAGCATAAGCAACAGTAAATTGATAATGATGGGCTATTCCTAGATTTTCAAAACAGAGAAATCAATCAAGGTCCTACTGGAAGCAAGAATACCAACATTCTACACACATGCAGAACATCATTCCAAGTATGACAAGATATTCTAGTAAAATCTGAAAGAACTGTGTTTCTTTCTGGCCAATTTGGCTTCAAAATTCAGGAGAGGTACCAGTTGTCTTTCCACCTTACCATTGCTTATTTCAGGTAAGTCAAATTTGGTAAAATCCCACCACTGAAGCCGGTAAGTAGTATTGGCAATATTGCTGGCCACAGCAGACTGTCCATCTCCAATCACAGCTCCTGAAATAAATAAATTAATAAATAAGTAAATGAAGATTATGATGTCATTATCTCAATTTCAAAGAAATAGCTAACGTTTTCCTGGTTCCTCTGTGTGTGTGTGTGTGTGTGTGTGTGTGTGTGTGTGTGTGCGCGCGCGCGTGTGTGTGTGTGTGTGTGCGCGCGCGCGTGCCTGTGTGTGTGTGTGTGTGTGTGTGTGTACAGTTTTAATACCAATAATATTTCTACATTTAAATGGCTTTATATCTATCTATATCCCACATTTCTCCTTAAAAAGAACCCAAGGAACATAATTTTTCTCATGTTACTTTTAGTTGCTTTGTCTAGTTCTCTTTAGCTTCTGCACACTTTCTCATTATTATTTGCTGTGTTCATTGAGCGTTTAATCGAGGCTTCCTTGCCCCAAAATGTTCCCCAGTGCCCACTGCTATGAATATGGGAAATTTCTTAATATTTATACATCAGCACAGAATAGGCATGGGGTATTTGTATTCATATCCCTAGAGATAAACATATGCATAGCAGCACCACAGATGCCATGGAGGTCCATTTCCTTGCCCTAGAACCAGCTGGTCCACTCATTGTTCACAGTGCAATGCTTGACTCCACTGTTGTTGGCATAATGCAAATCACAGAAGGGGTTTGGCCGGCTCTTCCCCCTTTTTCCCCATGCAGTCAACCACTCATCAGCTGAGCAGGGAGACTCCATGTCCCACTTCCATGCCACAGTGGTCAGCAGCGCAGGGAGGTGGGGAAGAGTCGGCCAAGCTCCTTCTGTGAGTGGTGATAGGAAAACAGCAACGGAGTTGAGTGCTGCACTGTGAATGGTGAGTGGACAGCTGATTCTGGGGAGAGGGAATGGGCCATGTCTAGCCCATGTCTAGCACATAATTAAATAAATAAATAATTTTGCCTGCGTATTACATTTATATCCCCCCTCCTCTCTAATGAGCTCAAGGTACTTATTTATTTATTTATTTTATTTATACGCCACCCATCTGGTCTTGCGACCACTCTAGGTGGGGTACATAGTTCTCTCCTCTGCACTTTATTTTTACAACAACCAGAAAATCCAGTAGTTTTTTTGCCCTCAAGGAGTTTACAGCCTAAACATGACAATGGATAATATAGAGACCTACAGCAAAGACAAATGAAGAACAGGAACAGTACAGACAAATGCATTTATTTTGAAAGCCAATTACTGCTGGGAATGAGATTAAGGAATTGAAGCTGAAAACCAGGACAGAAAGATTGGTGACACCAGGTTTATCTTAGATGCTGGAGATCCAGGATTTACCCAACCATTTACAAGGAACATGGCAAACTCAGGACAAGGATATATAGATACTGATCTGTTGATAAATAAAAACATTTCTGGTAATCATAATGTACTAAATGCCAGACAGCCAAATTGTCCACCTCCTCTCTGTTCTCTTTTTAGCCCCTACCAAACCCAAGCTAGAAATTCATTACTCCAAAATAAAGGGTGCCTCTGTGTATACTGCAGGGTGGACATGAATAGTTAGGTTACCTACCTGTAACCATGGTTCTTCTAGTGGACCTCTGTGAATTCACACAAATGGGTTTATCCTGCGCCTGCACAGGACGTTCGGAAGATACTAGAGCTTTCCAAAAAAGAGTCAATTAGTTCCCCCCCCCCACAGGGTATGAACTCCTCCTCCTCAATCTTCCTTTCAGTTTCCCTAGTCCGCCATTACCGTATGGAGTAGATAGACAGAACGGTACCGTGACAGACAGAGGGGAGGAAGGGAGGGATGTGTGAATTCACAGAGGTCCACTAGAAGAACCATGGTTACAGGTAGGTAACCTAACTTTCTTCGTAGTGGCCTCTGTGAATGCACACAAATGGGTGATTAGCAAGCTGACTCACCAGATGAAGGACCATCATGGCAACAGAGATAACAGGATCGCCCTTCCAAATGCGTCATCATTCTTGGCTTTGACATTGAGGCAGTAGTGCCTGGCAAATGTCAGAGGGTTGGACCAAGTGGCTGCTTTGCAGATGTTGTGAAGTTGAATGCTGCGGTGTAGAGCAGTCAATGTAGAGACAACTGGGGTAGAATGAGCCTTAAGATGTTCTGGTACTGGCTTGCCTGCAAGCTGGTATGCCAAATGTATCGTTTGCACTATCCATCTTGATATTGTTTGTGGAGAGGCAGGTGCACCCTTTTTAATGCCATTCTGGCACAAAAAGAGATGTGGAGAATGTCTAAAAGTTTTGGTTCTGTGGAGGTAAAAGGCAATAGCTCTTCTCACATCCAGAGTATGGAACTTACTCTCAATCGGTGTGGATGGAGATAGAAATAGGGTCAGAAGTACGATGGGTTGGTTTCTGTGGAATTCCAACACCACCTTGGGCAGAAAGGACACATCTAGGTACAAGGTGACCTTCTCAGGGTGCATCTGAAGATAGGGAGAATCCAATCTGAGAGCAGCTAGCTCACTAGTTCTCCTGGTAGAAGTAACTGCCACGAGGAATGCCATCTTCAGAGAGAGGAACTTTTCATCACAGGTAGCCAGCCTCAAGAACGAGCTGCAGCGACCATTGAGACACAATTTTCTGTGATGGGGCGAACATTCTTCAAGCCCTTTAGGAATCTCTTGAGTGCAGGGTGGGAAAAACGCGTAGCGGAGCTAGATCCGGGAGGTTAGTGAGCCACTATGGCTGCAATGTAGGCCTTAATGGTGGGCTGTACCAGTCCAAGGTTAAGAGATATATGATAAAGGTAAGTAGAGTCGAGAGAGATGATGGGACTGAGGTAAGTCCCTTAGATACAGTGAATTTGAAGAAGGATTTCCATTTGGTACCATACAGGTGAGAAGTGGACGGCTTCCTAGCCTGGTTTAAGACTGCACAGAATTCGGGGTTATCCTCCATGCCGTCAGATGTAGGGATCGGACATTAGGATGGAGGATTGCCTCATCGCTCTGGGAGAGGGGAGACAGTATCAGAGGTAAGTGGAACAGTTCTTGTGTTATCTCTCTCAGATGGGTGAACCACGGTTTTCACGACCACCATGGGGCGATGAGAATCACATCTGTCCGGTATTGGATGATCCTGGTTATCATCTTGAGCAACAATGGTATTGGAGGAAAGAGGTAAGTGACTTCCCTGGACCACGGTCCATGCCTGCTCTTGAGCAGTACCTGGGGCATTGGCATTGATATGGGAAGTGAAGAGGTCTATTGTCGGCTGACCCCATCTGCAGCAGATGTCCAGGAAGACAGTGTCGTTGAGGGACCATTTGTGCATTCTGGTGGGGAGCCTGCTTAGGCGGTCTTCCAAGTAGTTTTCCTCTGATGAAATACGTATTGCTTGAGTGGCAATGCAGTGCATACGACACCACTCCCAGAATTTAAAGTGAAGCGAAGAAGAGGAAGTGATTGAGTTCCTCCTTGTCTGTTTATGTAGTACATGACCGTGGTATTGTCGGTCACGAGCTGTACTGATTTGTCCACAATTCTGGGGAGGAAAGCCTGAAAGGCCTTTATGATGGCCAACATTTCTAGTTGGTTTATGTGGAGCGGTCTTTCACCCTTCGACCATAATCCATGTATCTGAAGTTCCTGGCAGTGGGCTCCCAAGCTGGAGGGGCTGGCATCTGTCGTCACCTGAATTGACGGGGAGGCGGTCGTAACAGTCTGCCGAGCAACAAATTGTTGAGGCAGGACCACCACGCGAGTTGCCACCTGTGGCGGTACTAAGAGCTCTTTTAGCTGGGAGTCCATTGTGGGATCTATTTGTGACAGGAACCAGGATTGAAGTGAATGGAGTTTGAGCCTGGCGTAGGGAACCACTGACGTTGTGGAAGCCGTAAGGCCTAGCAAGTGCTGAACGTTGAGAGCAGTGACGTACCAAGAGGTCGGAAAGGGAGTAGTGCCCGACGGATTTTCGCTACTCGGTCGGACGGTAGGAATGCTTTTGCCTGATGGGCGTTGAGTTGCGCTCCTATATAACTCATGTGATGGTACTAGGTGGGATTTTTCTGAATTTATTTGTAGGCCTAATTCATGCAGGACCTGAAGAGTAGTTCTTGGGGCTGCGATGGCCTCCTGATAAGTCCTGGCAACAAGAAGCCAATCGTTGATGTACGGGAAGAGCTTTATCCCCTTGGTACGGAGATTAAGCCACAACAGGGGCCATGCATTTTGTAAACGTCCTGGGGGCTGTGGAGAGCCCAAAGGAGAGAGCGGCAAACTGGTGGTGTGCTGGAACCAAAATCGGAGGTATCTTTGATGGGACTGTTGAACTGAAATATGAAAATAAGTGTCCTTGAGATTGATGGTAGTGAACAAGTTTCCCTGTCATAGAAGAGGGAGAATGAACTCGAGTTAGCATACAGAATTTTTTGTAAAGAATACATTCATCGAGCTGTTGGAGGTCCATGATGGGCCTAATACCCCCATCTTTCTTAGGGACGGCAAAGTATCGAGAGAGAGAAAAACCCGTTAGAGTCAGCAGGTGGAACTATGACTATCGCCCCTTTCCTGAGGAGAGCTGAGATTTCCTCTTGTAAAGGTAAAGAGAATGGGGTGGGCTTGATGGAATTTGTCGGGGGGATGTGCGTGAATTCTATGGCGTATCCCCACTCAATGATACAGTGGGGTCTTGACTTGAGAACTTAATCCGTATTGGAAGGCGGTTCTCAAGTCAAAAAGTCTGTAAGTCAAGTCTCCATTGACCTACAGTGCATTGAAAACCGATTAATCCCGTAACAGGCCATTTTTGTTCCATTTTGGGTTTTTTCTAGTCTGTAAGTCAAATCTCAGTCTGCAAGTCAAACCTAAATTTTGCAGCCAGAGAAGTCTGTAACTCAAAAAATCTGTAAGTCAAGCCGTCTGTAAGTCAAGGGTCCACTGTCAAAACCCATTTGTCTGATGTAATTCTCTTTCATTGGGGAAGGAACAGACGGAGTCTGGTGGAGATACCAGGGCAATTAAGAATAGGGCGTACCCTTGCGTTGGGATTTCCAAAAGGG